TCTGGTCTTGGGAAGTAGTGGGTCATTTTTTAATCCAGAGAGAATTCGAAGATTTTCTTCCCTTGTGAATAAGTCCCCAGGAAGCATAGGAAAGGATGTTATCAAAACGAGAGGAGGAGAGCTGGCTGCGGTCTGACTTTTGACATTAGGAAAATGAATCTTGCCATTCAGAATTTGAACTTGGCATATGAACATGTAAATAGAGTAGTTCGGGTGTGTGTGTGTGTGTGTGCGGTTTTGTTTTTGTTTTTGCTGCTTTTCACACCTCCCCTCCATTAATTGATCCCAGTGAGGAGAGAGTTTCACTTCCTCTGCCTTTAGAATCTTCTCTAGCAGGCATGTGCCAGAGCTGCAGGAAGTGCTGGCAGCCCTTGCGGTGGTCTCAGGGATGCTTTGCATCTTGAGGTTAGCCTAGTGGCTGTTGGGGGTCCATTATGGCGGAGGGCACTGAATGGCACAAAAAGCCAGGTGCTCACGAGAGAGCAGACGAGGCAGGCGCATGGGAACAGGGAGCATTTGGGTTTGGGTTTTTTGCTCATGGCTCTAGTTAAGAACTATAGGTTGCTTCTTAGAGATTGCTGGACTTCTGCTTCCAGAAACTCTTAACCATCTTTCTCTTGCTCACTTTCCAGATTGCCTTGGAATTCCCATACAGATTCTGGGACAGTAAAGTTCAAGGGGCTGACTTCTTTGGTCACGTTCCTCCAAGTGCCAGCAAGCGGGGCCTCTTTGCTGTGTTCTATGACATGGATCCCCAGGTAAAATCATTGGTGAAGTGCAGTTTGAATTTCCTCACTACCGTTTAGCATTTGGCCAGGCTCAGGCACCAGTGGACGTGGTGTCCGCTCTGGGTCTGTGTTCGGGTGCTGGCGGCCTGCTTGGGCCTGTAGGAGCCCCAGTATCCAGTGCTCACAGCGCTCCCTGGGGGATAGATTAAGTTGCTTGTGGAAAGTGCAAGATTTCGGGCTTGGTGAAGGGTGGGTGTGGGGGGCCCAGAGGAAGAGGAGGAGGAGGAGGAGGAGGAGGCGGCGGCTCGGGTTGGCGGATGTGACTGGGGGACACAGGCGAGGGAGCAATGTGTCTGGGACTGGGGATGGACCCTGGGGGTCACGTAAAAGAGTCACCCTCCTGTTCCCTTTTCTTCTCCCTTCCAAGAAACTTCATCTTAAGCGGTTTCATTTGGGAACTATGGACGAAATGTCTTCACCATTCGAGAAAATTTCCCCCCCTGATTTTATCTGCAGGTTTTTCTTCCCCATCTCCTTATGTTTCTTCTAGAACAAGTTCTTATAAGGGAAAAGCCAAGAGCACCCTGGCTTTGATATTTATATTTTTTCCTGAGCCTTTCAGCCGCAAACAACAAGATGTACAGCTGCATCATGCGTTTTGTGAGGGGAGTGGGCTGGTGATTGAGATGAGGATGGGGGTCAGGAGGAAGGAGGGTGATTTGTGAGAACGAGGTCCCTCCCTGTTGGATCAGGCAGTTAGGGGCTCGTGGACTGAAAGCAGAAAGTGTAAAGTGCCGTTGCCGTCCGTGTCCACAGAAGAAGCACAGCGTGCTGATGTCCGTGGTGGCTGGGGAGGCCGTGGCGTCCATCAGGACCCTGGAGGACAAGCAGGTGCTGCAGCAGTGCATGGCTGCCCTCCGGGAGCTGTTCAAGGAGCAGGTCAGAGAAACCCCTGGGGAGCGGGACACGCTTGCTGTCAGCTTAGCGAGCCATCCTTATGTGACCGAGGATGCCAGAGATGGAGGCATGGGCTGCGTCACTCCTGATTCCCATGTCCAGCTTCCCACCTAAATCCCTGGGCGGGGGGTGGGGAGGTGCTGGGGGTGCTAGGGCTGCGTAACAAAACAGACTGGGCGGTCTCAGCAGGGGAGGTTGGTTTTCTCACCAGGCCAGGGAGGGTGCAGGCCGGTTTGGTGTCTTCTGAGGCCTCTCCTTGGCCTGCAGGTGGCCGCCTTCCCCCGTGACCTCACACTCACACGGTCTTCCCTTTGTGCTGGCCTGTGGGCCTGTCCCAGTCTCCTCCTCCCGTGAGGACACCAGTCATATTGGACTACAGCCCACCCTCTTCACCTCACTGTAACTTAATTACCTCATGCAAGGCCCTTTTTTGAATATCATCCCGTTATGAGGTGCTGGGGCTTAGAGCTTCAAAATACGAATTTTAGGGGTCCGCAAATGAACCTACAGCAATATTCTATGCCACCTTTCACACCGTTGTCTTCCTTTTTGGCTAGCATCACGCACACGCCCTCCTTTTTCTTTTTTCTTTCTTTTTTTTCCCCCTCCTGTGCTAATCCACAAAGGGTGGCTGTTTGCTAGGGAGCTGCACAAAATATGGAACCCTTCACAAATTTGCATGTCATCCTTGCACAGAGGCCATGCTAATCTTCTCTGTGTGGTTCCTATTTTAGTGGATGTGCTGCTGAAGCGAGCACCACATCCCCTTTCTTTCCCAAGGATGTAAAAGGCTCAGCACTTTCCCTACGTCCTGTATTAACCCAAACCCCAGCAAGCTTTGACAACTTTCCTTTCAAACAGATACGGTCCAGAATTTTCTCCTACCCCACAGACAGAGCCAGGTACTTTATATTTGCCAGTTTGCTAAAGCTCACAGTCTCGGGAGATTTGTAAATGGCGTAGGTTTTTGTTTTTTTTTTTGTTTTGTTTTTTTTTTCAAATAAAGGAGTGGGAGTAGAAAGATTTGAAATGACTCAAGAGTTAGGTAAATTAGAGAAAGAGAGGCACCCGGGTTGTTGCTTATCTTACGTGATGTGATCACATCTCACCATAGTCCCTAGCTTGGGGGTTTTGCCCCAAAACTTGTTTTCACATTAGTTATTTGGAACTTAGCACATTGTTTCCGTAGAGATATCTTTCATGTGCTCATCAGAGGCACAGAATTATTTGAAATTTAGTGAACGTGGAACATATTGTCCAATGGCTGTTCCGTGGAGGAGGCTATTGAGAATCCAGCTTGTCCGGGGACTGCCCCCTTCCTTCCCTACCCCCGGCCTGGACACCCTCCTTCCACCACCTCCAGCACATACCGGGTGTTGGAAAGGGAAGGGCACTGGTGACGGCCTGGTGGGTGGACGGGAAGGACCTCTCTGGCCAGACAAGGTGTAGACCTGAGATGTCGGGGGAGGTTGCAGAGCCTGGGCAGGACACAGGACGCAGCACACATCGGGCCTGGGGGGAGCTGGCAGGTGGGGGGTGCAGGGGGTGTAGTGGGGGGCGCCGTGTCAGAGCCTCCAGGAACCATCTCTGTTTCTGGAGGAGGCGGGACTGGGTATCTGTGCTCCGCGCTGCAGCTCCTCCCAGGCCCCCGCTGATCCTGGGTGGTGGTTCCTTCCCCGTGACACAGGAAGTCCCAGACCCCACCAAGTATTTTGTCACTCGGTGGAGCACAGACCCCTGGATCCAGATGGCCTACAGCTTTGTGAAGACAGGCGGGAGCGGAGAAGCCTACGATATCATTGCTGAGGAAATACAGGGAACTGTCTTTTTTGCCGGCGAGGTGCGTACCATGATCTTGAACCCGGCCACTTTTATTTTGGTTACTTTCTTTTAACTAAAGTGCTGTGTGTCCGGAGTTTTCTAAGCAAAGTCAGATACAGTCAAAGTGTTATGATACCAGGGGCCTCCCGGGGGGGGGGGGTTGGTCAAGCATCTGACTCTCAATCTCAGCTCGGGTCATGATCTCAGTGTCGGGAGATCGAGCCCCGTGTCAGGCTCTGTGATGGGATGGAGTCAGCCTGAGAGTCTCTCTCCCTCTTCCACATGGGGAGGAAACTAAGTAAATCTTAAAAAAAAGGGGGGGGGCATCATGACACCAAACAGCAGAATGGCCCCTCCACATCCAGCTCACACCCCCAGGACACTATTTTTAACCTTTCCTGTGGTTTCTTCAGGAATTTCCTGCCTGTTCTCAGATATTTCCACTGTTGACTTCGGGTCTGACAGGGTGGACACTGTCTGACTTCCCCTCGGGTTGACGATTTAGCCGTTCAGTGTGGTGACCTCACACCTGAGAATGGGCATCGGTGCTCGTGTGACGTGGCTTCCTGTGGAGCCAAGGTGTTCGTGGACTCCTTTCTTACACCGCTGTTTTCTTGACGGCCGCAGTGGCCCCTTTATCCCTTAGCTGAATTCTTCCCACCCGTCTGCTGGGGGCCCCCACCCTCCCTGGAGCACCGTCGAGGCCCTGGGAGCTGCCGTGTTAGCGCCACTGTTGGAAACCCCTTCCTGGTGTCCTCTTGCCTTGCCTCTCTGGGACGCCACCTTACCGCTCTCCAGGGTTGGCGTTTTAATTTTCTAGATCCCTGTCTTCCTTCTTCTCTTTCTTTAATATTTATTATTTTTTAAAATTGTGGTAAATTACACATGATGTACAACTTACCATCCTATTTAAGTCCGTAAGTTTTTCTGTGAGGAATTTCACGTGGGATTCCTTCCACTGCCAATCACCGTGGTTCCTCCAAAGTTGGAATCAACGTCTTCAAAAGAGCCCCTTTAAAAGAGCTTGTGTTTAGTCCACAGTTGTCACCGACAGATAGTCATGGTACTTTTGGTTGGGCTTCTCTCATCTGCTCGAATATGGACAGACTTCCAGACTTCTCCAGCTGCTGGATCATCTTTTCTTTTCTTTTTTTTTTTTTTTTTAAGATTTTATTTATTTATTTATTCCTGAGAGAGACAGAGAGAGAGAGGCAGAGACACAGGCAGAGGGAGAAGCAGGCCCCATGCAGGAAGCCCGATGCGGGACTCAATCCTGGGTCTCCAGGATCATGCCCTGGACCTAAGGCAGGTGGCAAACCGCTGAGCCACCCAGGGATCCCCTGGATCATCTTTGGAATCCAGTTTCTTTACAAGTCAAATTGTAGGAAGTACACTGATTGCTCTTTTGGCAAATGATCTAAAATCATTATTTTTAAATTGTTTCTAACATTGAAAAGTCCTGTTACTTCCACTGTACTCCCTGAGCCCAGCCAAGGATGTTAGGGCCTCGTGGTCACCCCTGCGGTCATCTTGCTGTGATGGAACCGCCTCCCGTCTCAGTGTAGCCACATTCACAATTTCTGGACACCATGAGCCCATTTTCATCTAGAACGAGGCTCTTACCATCCTATTTTTTAAGTGTACAGTTCAGTGGCACCAAATACATAGACGCTGCTGTGCCACCATCACCACCATCCATCTCCAGAACTTTCTCATCCTGTGAAACTGGAACTCAGGTACCTGTGAAGCAACCCTTCCCATCCCCTCTACCCCCAGCTCCTGGATCCCACTAGTCTACTTTCCATCTCTACAGATTTGTCCTGGGTGCCTCATCCTCTCAGTGGGATCGTCCAGTGTTTGTCCTTTGTGACTGGCTTATTCCAGTCAGCAGAATGTCCTTAAGGTTCATCCACGCTGTGGCATGTGTCAGAATAGCCTTCTATTTATCTATTTTTGTAAGACTTTTTTTTTTAAGATTTTATTTATTTATTCATGCCAGACACACAGAGAGAGGCAGGGGCACAGGCAGAGGGAGAAGCAGGCTCCATGCGGGAAGCCTGACGCGGGACTCGATCATACCCTGGGCCGAAGGCGGCGCCAAACCGCTGGGCCACCGGGGCTTCCCTAGCCTTCCTTTTTAAAAAAGACTAAATATATTCCATTACATGTAGAGATGACATTTCGCGTACACATTCATGTCCTGGACGCTGGAGTTACTTCTGCTTTTAGGCGGTTGTGACTAATGCTGTGCCCTGAACATGGGTGTACGTGTACTTTCAAGACCCTGCGGTTGGTCCTTCGGGGTATATTCCCAGAAGAGGCATTGCTGGATCATATATTAATTCGGCGCTTAATTCCTTCAAGCACCGTCCACGGTTTCCCACAGCAGCTGCACCATTGTGCGTCCCCCTCAGCGGTCACAAAGTTCCCAACACTCGAGATGTTTTTAAGATTATTTTAGAGAGAGGGAGATAGTGTACGTGTGGGAGGTGAGAGGCAGAGGGAGGAGGAGAGACCATCTGAAGAAGACTCTGAGATGAGTGGGGGAACCTGACGTGGGACTCGATCCCACGACCCTGAGGTCATGAACTCAGCTGAGATCAAAAGTCGGACGCCCATCCGGCTGAGCCACCCACATGCCCCACCAATTTTCTGGTTTTTGCTAATAGCGGACCTAAAGTGGCCTTTTTAAAAAATTTCTGTTGAGAAATGATTTGCTGTTTTGATCACTAATTTTTTTCTGTGCCTGTTTTCACTTGCTTGTAATCTAGATGCTTATATCCTTTTAGTCCTTGATTTTTTTCACTTTTGATCATTTTCTCCCCACTTTTTCCTCTTATTTCTAGTCTTCTGTTCCACATATTGGAACTCCTGAACCTGAGGATCTTTCTTTTCTTTGTTGTTACTCATCTCTCTCTCCTTATCCTATGGTGGTGGGGGGAGATTCATATTCCCACTCTTGGAAATTTTGTGCTTATGAGCACTTTCTTGTCCTTGGATTATTCTTTTGGTAGCATCCTCCTCTTGCTTCATGACTCCTCAGAGTTCCTGTAGCGTCAGCCTCCCACATGTCCAAATATCCCATCCTTGATTATCTGCTTAGATTTGAGTGAGGCATTTTTATAAAGCCTCCCGAAAGCTCTGGAAAGCTTGCCGACGGGTGGTTGGATCCCCGTACCTCGGGGTATCTATCTATAGCTCTTTCCTCCGGGAACATGTAGTTTCTCTCTGCTTGGTGGCAGCTCGTGGCAGCTCCTGACATCCCGGGAGCCGGAAGCCTTGCTCTTCGTTATGAGGACGTGACTTAATCTGCATCTTGCTCGGTGCCTCGACCTTGCCTCTGCCTCAGATCCCCGGTGGGTCATGGCAGTGGCCGTGGGGGACCTGGTGAGGGACCAGGGTGCTCTTCGTAACGTAGAGTGAAGCGAATTCTCGGCGCTCTTTCGTACGTGGTAGGTTAGCTTCAGACCTCATCCGAGTGTCGTTGAAAATGGTGGAGTTGGGTGTTATCTTTCCTCTTCCTGATTTTCGGATGATTACAAAAGAACATCCTTTAAAAACCGGCTATCTTTGATTCGTCCTTGGCCTGCAGAGCCAGCTTTGCGGGAGCAGAGCGTGACTGTGCCAGCCAGCCACCGGCTGAGGCTCCTGTGGCACAGTTGTTACCTCACAGTTACAAAAACTTCCTTAGACCCCTTGCTGGGAGGTTCCCACCACTCTCTCCCCCTCCTAGTCCTTGTATCCTTGCCTCCTCTTCACTCCTCTGTTCCTGACGTCTTTGGCCCTGGCTCTTTTCCCTCCACGCCCCCTGACGTGGCACACACCTCTGTTCACACCTCCGTCCACGGGCTACTTCCCCCTCTGGGGTCTGCTCACCTCCACTTCAGCTCCGGCCCGGACCTGCTCACCGTGGCCCCCCACCCCCCAGCCGCAGATCAGGCTGTCTCTCCTGTCGTGGGGGGCTGGTTCTGTTCCGGCTGGAACCCCCTGCAAAGCGGGCTTTCCATGGACCGTCCTCCCCTTCCTGCTCAGTGACCCAGCTGTCCTTCGGGTCCAGCCGTCTGGCACAACTCCCAAGGTGGAGGACTTGGCTGGGGCTCCGTGCTTCTCTCAGCACGATCCTAACAGAACAGCGAGGGTGATTACGCGGATGGGGCCCAGGGCCCAGGGCTCCTTCACTGTTCTTAGTTCCAGCGCAGGGTACAGAGGGAACATCCTACGGGTTGCCACACAGGACTTCCCAGGACTGTAGAGAAAGTCGTGGAATGAGGTGGTGAAGCATGGGGGGGGGGGGTGCGGGATGACCAGAGGACGGCAGGTGCAGGGACGGGTGAGGAGTGTTCATATGAGCACAGGAGTGCCATTGAACTTTGAGGACCGGAGAAAGTGTAGCTTGTATGACCTATTGATTACCATCGGAGTTCCTTATACGTGACCTCAAGATATGCAATTATTTCTTACAGGCAACAAACAGGCATTTCCCACAAACTGTCACAGGGGCATATTTGAGTGGTGTTCGAGAAGCAAGCAAGATTGCGGCATTTTGAATACATTTGTTTGGACCCTGCTTTCTTCTGTTGCCCCAAATGGTAAAAAGTCTGAAACACGTGTAAAACCTCACTTGCGTAAAATCAAACTAAACGAACCTCTGAGAGCATTAGCCCCAAGAATCCTCTTGCAGCACTTATATTTAATTTCCACAGGTTGAGTAGTGCTAAGTTTTCTGTATTTCAGAATAAGTCAGCATAGAACCTTAAGATTTTCGATAGGATTTCTTCCATGGTTGGAGACTCCCTTTAAATTGGACATTTTATTGGGCTCATCAGTTTTCAAACATTGAGAAACCAAGCAGCAATCATTAAAAATCCAGATAAAGCCATGTATTTTTCTTCTGTGACAGTTTATCAGTATCTTTGCCAATGAGCCTTAAGACTTTTATATAGCTCTGATATTGAGCTTTTACTTAAAATTTAGATAGAAATCTTTCCTTTTCAGATACAGCAAACTCTTCAGTTAAAAGTAAATGAAACTTCTAGACTATTTTATATTGTACATATTTCTTTCCATTGGGTTATTCAAAAGAAATTTAAATTCAGGTATCTTTTGCGACACGAGGTTTTAGATTGGTGCACTCATTGGCAAATCAAAATTTTCAACTCCTTAAACAGCGCAGGTATATTCTATCATTTAGAATGGGTTAGAGATTATAGTATAGACTTCATACTTTAGACCATTTAGAATATGGCTATTTTTTTAAGGGCCAAATTTGGGTGGATGGCACACTTCAAATAGCCTTAATTTTGGCAACCACTAGAGCAAAAAGATCTTTCTTGTCAGAATACTTTAATAAGAAACTCCTTCTACTGCCGCTTTTTAAAATAACTGATTCAAACTCTAGGAATATTTTTACAGCATTATGTTTTCAGTATTCCATAGGCAGGTCCACTGGAAAACTGCAGAAAAATGTGATATCCTAATAAATATTACACATGTAAAGCCATATCTTAAAAGCCTGAGAACATGGCAGATACTTTTTCCCTTTTATCACTCATGACAAAATAAACACTGGTTTCAGGGTCTTCAGGATGCTTGCCAAGTTAGAAAAGTGAATGGTAAAACTTAAATGCTTTTGTTTTAAAAAGTCTGAACAGTTGTCAGTCTGCTTCAAAAAGGGACTCAAAAGGACTTTAAATTTTAAAAATACCTAATATTTTGCAAAGTATCTTTAAAGTCACCTTGTAAGTAGAAAGTTATTTTGTGCAAACTGTAGAACACCATTTAGACACATCCCTCTCCATCAAAGTATGATGCAAATACAGAAAAGTGAACAGCAGTAAATTGGTTTCAAAGTTGGGTTAATGCAGGAAAATGTTGAGATTATCAGATTAAGACTCATTGGTACTGATTGGGAAGCATTCAGCTTTAAAATGCTATGTATTAAAATGTTTAAATAGCATGTGTTTAGTGAAAAATGCAAAGTATTTTAAGTTTGAAATGGTTCACGATTCTTTAGTCTCTGGGCACTTAAACTTGTACTGTGCTACCAGCAAACTATGGGAAAATCTAGTTAGCTCAAGTACAGTAAATGTGTATGTAAAAGATTTCGTCTCCAGTGACATCATTGGATTTTTTGTTCTTTAGGGAACCACGGTACTTTTATTCTTGAGTTTCTTGAATATGTTTTTCACTGTTTGAAGACTTTGTAATTGAATAGCAGTGAATACACAGTGTTTTAACTGCAGATTGTGAAGAGCTGGTTGTGTAAAACTGCTTAATAAAAACTAGACTTGTTTTTCAAATACACTGTGCACTGTGGTGATGAACACACTCGTTCTAGGTACCAGTCCCCTCTCCTCCAAACCTTCTGTAGACTTTTCTACTCCTAGGTTTTACTGCTTACCCTCTTTCAAGTAAATGGTCACAAAATAATAACCTACCGTTTTTGAGATCACTTCCCAGTTTTCCTTTGTGATTTCTCCACAGTAGTGGTTCGTTATCCCTGAGGAGCACTCCAAATTAAATGGGTCATCGGTGGGGCTAAATCTACCTGTTCTGAAATCCTCAGCGAAGGGGGGACATAATCCTCAGCGAGAGGGGAAATGCCACAGAAACCATAAA